AATCACCCTCCCCCCTACCCCTAAAAAAAAAACCCCATCCCCAAAATTACTAAACTATTTGTATATACAAACTACAAACCTCCCTATCCACAATAACACCTCTCCCACTACCTCTCCTCTATTACTCCTCCACCACACCCTCCTCCTCCTCCTTCCCTAACTTTCCAAGAAGAGAGGGGACTGTGTTTCATGCTAAGTGTCTTTTTCCTTCTGGGCACTTTCTCTTATCCCTGTCCCTACCGTTATCTCTGCCACTTGCTTCCACCTGTGAAAGACAAAGGCCAGTGAGGCGGCAGCTATCTGAGGTCCTGGTCTCTGGGGACCTTTGGAACCTGGGGGGGGGGTGCTGCTCCGCCCCTCTGGCAAAGCCTTGGGCTCCTGGGGACACAAACACACAGCCGCTCTGCCTGCCCCAGTGGGAGAAGTGGGGCTTCAAGGAGAAAATTTGCACCCGGGGACTGGATCAGTCACTCGGGTCCTTGCTTGAGTTTCTCGGGGGAGGCTCATGCCCAGGGACCGAGTCCCTAGTCCCAAAGGGGACGCTGCCCCCAGAAGCCATCTGTGTCAGCAGCTGCCGGACTCCCAGGACAGGCTGCATGTGGCGCGAGGGAAGGCCCGGCACACTCGGGGTGCAGTGGGCGTGTGCCACGCCTCTGTTCACTGCTCCATTCCCAGCCTGACCCGTGGGGGTCAGGGATGGGGCCCTCTTGTCCCGAGGAACTTTCAGCAGGGAGGACTGTCGGGAGCAAGGGCCTCTGCCAAGGCTTCCAGAAGAGGGGGCATCAAGTAGGGTTTTTAAGGATAAGTAGGAGTTTTCCCAACTTAGGGCTGGGTTGTGGAGGGGACGGGAGGGGATGGAGGGATATTAGGGAACCACGCACTTGTTTCTTCCTGGTAGTTTTCCCCAAAAGAGCGGCAAATCAAGCTCCTGGCTCGCTGGGACCTCAGGTGTCCCTGCAGGTGAGCAGACAGCTGCGGCCCCACCCCTGGGCCTGGCTCCTGGGTCTCTCCTGGGCCCTGCCACCACTCTCTGCTTCCATATTGCAGATGAGTCCAATGTCCGGCCGGCATGGCCCACTCCCCCTGCCCCTGGGGTCCCTGAGGGACCCTGTCCCTGGAGCCCAGGTCAGAGAGGGGCTGTGCTCGCCGGCCTGGGGCCAGGGCGGGCCCTGTGGTGACAGGTGATGGAGGGAGGAGGAGAGGGAGGACAGAGAGGAGATGGAGGTAACCTGGGAGAGGGAGGGTGAGAAGGGATGGGAAGGCCACATGGGAAAGTCCCGGGCACTGGGCTTCCTGTCCCCCTCCCCCTCCACCCCTCCCTCTCTTTCCCTCCCCTTCCCTCCTCCTTCTCCCTCCCCTTTGCTCCTCTCCCCCTCCCTCCCCTCCCCTCCCTCTCCTCCCCTCCCTCTCCTCCCCTCCCTCCCTCTGTTGCTCCTCTCCCCTCCCTCCCCTTTGCCTCCTTCTCCCCTCCCTCCCCTCCCCTCCCCTCCCCTCCCTCCTTTGCTCTCCTCCCTCCCTCCCTCCCTCCCTCTGTCCCACAGAGGGCACCAGCTCAGGGTCAGAGGTTGGGGGGAGGGGGACATGATAGGGGGACAGGGGGCTAGGGATTGAAGAGATTTGGGGGATATAAGCAAACAAGCAGGGAAGGGGGAGTAGAGGAAGTGCTGGCTCTGCCAAGAGAGTCCAGGCTGCAGAGTGGCGTGGCGGGGTGTCCCCTCTGTGACAGGCGGGGTGAGGAGGGACCCCCTACTCTGGGAGCACGTTCTCAGCCCCGCCCTCTCTAGGCCAGTCACCCAGCACTGAGGGGTGGTCCTTGCAGAGAGGCCCAGGCGTGGTCCTTGCAGAGAGGCCCCGGCGCCTGGGAAAACCGGCTGTGGGTCGGGTTGTGCTGAGCCCCGTGGCTCAGTCTCAGCTCTGCACCGAGCACTGACAACCTCCGACCTTCCTGACCGCAGCGGTGCTGTCCCTAGACTGTGCCCTGAGCCTGCACCCGTGGCCACCCGGCCGGGTCGGGCGCACAGGACAGGCACCTTCCTACACGGAAGCCAGGGGACCCCTGAGGCCGGGGAGGGCTCGCTGCGTGTGGCTCTCATCCTGTGTGGGGACGGCGGCGCCGTGCCCGTCCCCCACTTGTCCGCTCCTGCTGTGGCCGGCTGGGCAGTGCCCCGCTGGGGCCTGGGTGCCGGCAGGGCCCACGGGCCTCCCACCCGCCGAGGGGCTCAAGGACAAGCCCGTCCCCTATGGGCTGAGTGACCGGGACCCTGCGGCCGCTCTGTGGCTGCGGCTCGGACGGGAGGCCGACCGCGTTTCTCAGCCGTGGCCGTTCTACAGAAACAGGATCTAAAGGGGTGGGAAACGTGAGCCTGACACCCTTCCAGACGTTGTGCTGTTTTGCGACTCTTACCTGGGTCCGCAGTCCCCGAGCAGGCTCTCCTAAGGCTGCGTCCGAGCGCCGCACCTGACTGGCACAGAAATCGAGCATTTCCCGTGGGGTTAGCGTAGCTCTCTCTTTAATTTAATTCAAGACGATCCCTAAGCAGCTTCCCAGCCCACGTGGACACCCACGTGGACCCCGCGTGGTCAAGAGAGTGAGCGTCTTGCCTTCTGGCTCCCTGGGCCGTTCCATCTCCTCTCGCGGGTCTGCCTCGGAGTCGCCAGATTCCAGAACCCAGATGTCACCCCAGTTCAGTGTTTGCTCCGTGACGGTGCCACGCTGGAGCCCACAGTGGTGGCTGGGGAGCCACGTTCCCTGTGAGACAAAGCTCGCGTCGTGACAGAGGCAGACACGTATGAACGTGGCTCTTCTTTTCAGTTTGCCGCGGTCACACCCAGAGCACACGTGGCATAAACCTGCCACGGCAGTCGCCATCACATGTCTGGCCGGGGGTCTGACACGCTCACAGAGCTTGGCGCCCAGCCGCCACCCGCCTCCACACGCTTTATTGAGTCCGCTGAGGCCCCGCGCCCGGCACAGACCCCCCGCGCCCGGCACCGACCCCCCGAGCCCGGCACCGACCCCGCGCCCTCCCGGCCCGCAGCCACGCCCTCCTCTGTCCGGGGAACCCCACGTCTCCGGGGCTGCGTGCGGTGTCTGTGTTTCTGTGATGGTGGTGCCACTCAGTGTGAGGTCCTCAAGCCTCACCCGTGTTGTGGCCAACGTCAGGGCGTCCTCTCTCAAGGCTGAGCGTGCGCTGAGCGTGCATGGGCCACGCCGAGCTTGTGCATCCGCCTGTCGGTGGACGCTCGCGTGGCCTCGGCTGTTGTGGAAAGTGCCGCTGTAGACACGGGATCTGCTGTCAGTGCCCTGGGGACAGACCAGAGGGGAGCTGCTGGGTCCCGTGACAATCCTAGTTGTTGCTTTTCGAGTGAGTCACCACCTTGCCACCTAGCGCACCGCAGGCTCCTCGCTTCTCTGCCACACTCGTTACCGCCTGTTTGCCTGTTTGCATGGCAGCAGCCGTCCCGGGGGCTGCGAGGTGGTGCCGCATCGTGGCTTGACTTGTGTTTTAAGATAAAGGACATTTGGTGTCACAGATGAGCCGCTGCAAGCTCAGGGACGATCCTGGTGGCAGGAGGAGGACGGGTCTCCCTCCAGGCACAGGGTGTCCCAGGGAGCAGCCCCTCTTGCAGGTGCACTGCTCCAGGGTGCTCTTGAGCAGCTGGGGCGGCACCGCGGGTGGGCACAGCCCTCTGCCGTGGACTGCCCGGTTGCAGGCTGGCGGCTCCTGGGCAGCAGGGGGCTGGAGAGGGCCGATTCCGTGTTGCCACGGGGATGCCTGCTGTGCTGTGCCATTCAGGGCACGGGGACCTCAGTGGCGCCTCCGTGAACGGCCACAGCTCCCCAGGGCCCCACACGTGGTCTCAGCCCGCTGGATGGCTGGGACCATCTGGCTGGGCGGTCCTTCCGGGACAGGAGCCAGCTCTGACCTGGTGCAGTGGACGGGCCCTCACGTCCCAGCTCTGTCCATGCCTGGGCACCGCTGCCTGCCCAGACTGAGCTCCCCACGCATCCCCCAGGTGCCTTCATGATCCCCTTCCCCATCCTGTGGTCCTTCTGGGACAGGAGCCAGCTCTGACCTGGTGCAGTGGACGGGCCCTCACGTCCCAGCTCTGTCCATGCCCGGGCACCGCTGCCTGCCCAGACTGAGCTCCCCACGCATCCCCCAGGTGCCTTCATGATCCCCTTCCTCATCCTGCTGGTGCTGGAGGGCATCCCCCTGCTTCACCTGGAGTTCGCCGTGGGGCAGAGGCTGCGCAGGGGCAGCGTGGGCGTGTGGTCCTCCATCCACCCGGCGCTGAAGGGCTTAGGTGAGTCGCGGGCCCCCGGGCACCTCCCTGCCTGCCCTGGGGAGCGGGACGTCCCGGTCAGTCCCCGCCCCAGGCCTCCGGAAGCCCCGCTAGGCTCTGTGGGCGGGCACGTGCAGTGTCCGGGGCGGGCCACTCCTGGCCTCCAGGAAACTGCCAGGGCAGCAGAGGCCACGGCAGCCCTGGCGGCACAGGGCACAGGACGCTGGAGGACGGCAGAGTGACCCCTGCCTGCCCAGAGCAGCCTCCGCATGGGCCCGGCCCCGGGAGGGGCGCTGGCCGCCTGGTCTCCCGCCCTCTGTGCGGCACCCAGGCACAGTGAGAAGGTGCCCGCAGTGACCCCGGCCCCAGCTGTGGTCAAGCCCTGAGACCGGGGGGTGGCCCCATATGGCTCGTGAGACCTCAGGATACAGACAAAAGAGCTCCAGCCAGAGGAGAAGGGGGCGGGCCCCCCAAAAGGGATTCTGAGCCCAGGAGGCATCTGCCCTTCTGAAGCCTTGGGGCCTACCCCTTCCCGCACCCACGCCCACCTGCCCCCACGCCCACCTGCCCCCACGCCCACCTGCCTCCCACGCCCACCTGTTCCCACGCCCACCTGCATCCCATCCCCACCTGCTCCCACCCCCACCTGCTCCCACGCCCACCTGCTCCCACCCCCGCCTGCTCCCACGCCCACTTACCTCCCATGCCCACTTGCCTCCCACGCCCACCTGTTCCCAAGGCCACCTGCTCCCACGCCCACCTGCTCCCCACGCCCACCTGCTCCCACGCCCACCTGCATCCCAGCCCACCTGCTCCCACTCCCACCTGCTTCCATGCCCACCTGCTCCCACACCCATCCCAGCCCACCTGCTCCCACTCCCACCTGCTTCCAGCCCACCTGCTCCCACTCCCACCTGCTTCCATGCCCACCTGCTCCCACACCCATCCCAGCCCACCTGCTCCCACTCCCACCTGCTTCCATGCCCACCTGCTCCCACACCCATCCCACCCCACCTGCTCCCACGACCACCTGCATCCCAGCCCACCTGCATCCCAGCCCACCTTCTCCCACGCCCACTTGCTCCCATGCTCACCTGCTCCCACGCCCACCTGCTCCCATGCCCATCCCACCCCACCTGCTCCCCACACCTACCTGCCTCCCAGCCCACCTGCTCCCACACCCACATGCTCCCCACACCCACCTGCATCTCATGTCCACCTGCTCCTACGTCCACCTACTCCCACATCCACCTGCTCCCACCCCACCTGCATCCCACACCCACCTGCTCCCAAGTCCACTTGCATCCCATGCCCACCTGCATCCCAGCCCACCTGCTCCCACGCCCACCTGCTCCCCACACCCACCTGCTCCCACACCCACCTGCATCCCATGTCCACCTGCTCCCACGCCCACCTACTCCCCACCCCCACCTGCTCCCACACCCACCTGCCCTAGCCTCCAGTTCAGTTTTCAGGGCCTCCTCCCTCCCTCCCTCCCTCCCTCCCTCTCTCCCTCTCTGTCCTTCCCCACCTCACACGTGCACATTCACCACACACGCGTGCGCACACACACACACTTGGTTTTCAACTTAAAATGTCAAGACAACATGGAGCACCTAGATGGCTCTTTACAAAGGCCCTGCAGCCCCCTGCCTGCACCTGCCCAGGAGAGGCGGCAGGAGCCCCCGCTCTGGTGGGTCAGGGGTGGGTGTCTGCTCAGCCCGGCCACCGGCCCCCCATCGCTCCCCCCTCCCCCCCCCAGGGCTGCCCGGGTGGGCGGGCAGGGGCGGGTGCTCGGGGCCACTCCGCAGCAGCAGTCCCTCCCGCAGGCATCGCGTCCATGTTCGTGTCCTTCATGGTGGGCCTGTACTACAACACCATCATCGCCTGGGTCATGTGGTACTTCTTCAACTCCTTCCAGGACCCGCTGCCCTGGAGCCAGTGCCCGCTCAACTCGAACCTGACAGGTGAGCTCCCCGCCTCCCCCACTCCACAGGCAGACCCCCCCCGAAGGGTCGCCCCCCAGGCTTCTAGCACGGAGACACTCACGGCTCAGACCTGTCAGAACCCGGGGCGCTGCCACGGCAACGGGCATCTCCACCAGCCACAGCACGGGAGAAAAGCCCTCAGAAACGGTGGCTGCCACGTTGGGGTGGCGCAGTGGCGGGCGAGGTGGTCGGGACGGCCACCGTGGGTCCCGCCTCGCCCGGCCCTCGCCTCCCGCCCAGGCATCCCGAGGGGTCTCTACACACTCGGAGCAGCTCCGCCCGCGTGTGCCTCTCCCCACTCATCCCCGCCGCCCGTCCTGGTCCCCGGCCCCTCGCCCTCCCCGTGGCTCTGCCGGGGCCTGGGCACGTGCTCAGCCACCACAGTCACTCGCCACACCAGGGCCGGGCCGCCTGCTCGGTGACCTCTGGGGTCGCGGCTGTCACAAGGCCCCGCCACGCGCCCCGTGCCGCACTCGGGCTGTCCGGCCCTGTCCACCCTGATGCTGGCCAGGGTCAGGCAAGCGGGAGAGACCCACTGCGAGAGGCGTGTTGGCGTGTGTTAGCGTGTGAGCTGTGCACACTGCCTGTGTTCCGTGCACTCGTGTGCGTGTGCTTGGTGTCAGTGCGCCGGGAGTGTGGCGGGCGCTTCCCCAGCTCAGGGCCCCGTGGCACCTGCTCTGCCCGTGGCTCCCTCCTGGGAACACCCCCCGATGCGCGTGCACGCGTGTCCGCAGGCTACGTGGAGGAGTGTGCCAGGAGCTCCTCCGTGGACTACTTCTGGTACCGCGAGACGCTCAACATCTCCACCTCCATCAGCGACTCGGGCTCCATCCAGTGGTGGATCCTGCTCTGCCTCACCTGCGCCTGGAGCGTGCTCTACGTGTGCATCATCCGTGGCATCGAGACCACGGGGAAGGTGCCGTGGGCGGGCCGGGCGGCGCCCTGGGGCCGGGTGGGGCAGCCTGCCCCTGGGGCCCACCCGAGGGCCCACCATGAGCCTCTGCCCTGGCGCATGCACAGATGGGAGGGGCCCACGCGGCCCGGCGGGACCCGGTGCTGGCCTGGTGCTTCCAGATGGCCCCCGGGAAAGCCCCAGCGAGTGGAGGGTCCCCATGGTGACGGCAGGGGTGGGGAGGGAGCGGGCTGTCTGCCCAACACCGCAGAGAGGAGCGGAGTCCCGCCTGGCCGGCCCTCCCCTGGGGCTGCTGCGCCTGAGGGGCCTGCGCTCCCCGTCCCCTGTGGATCCCTGTCCCACATACCTGTCCTCACGTACCTGCTCCCACACACCTGCTCCCCCACCTGGCACCACACCTGTCCTCACACCAGTTCTCGCATACCTGCCCCCACCTGCTCCATACACCTGCCCCCACACACCTGTCCCCCCACACCTGTCCTCATCTACTTATCCACACACACCTGTCCCCCACACCTGTCCTCACATACCTGCCCCCACCCATACAACTGCTCCACCCACGTGTCTCACATGCTGCCCCACCTTCTCATCTACTATCCCACACACCTGTCCCATGCAGTTCTAGCATACCTACCCACCTACCCACATCACCTGTCCCACACCTGTCTTCATCTACCTATCCCCACACACCTGCCCCCACACCTGTCCCCACACATCTGTAATACATCCCTGCCACCCCACACCTCCCTCCACATACCTGTCCCCACACACCTTTCCCAACACTGTCTCCACACATCTGTAACACACCCTTGTCCCCACACCAGCCACACGCACACACACTTGTCCCCACGCACCTCCCTCCACACTCCTGCCCCCCACCCTCAACCCCCAGACCTCCCTCCACACACCTACCACCCCACACCTGTCCCCACATACCTGCCCCCCATACACGCACCCCCCTACCTCTCTCCACACTCCTGCCCCCCCACACCTGCACCCCCAGACCTCCCTCCACACACCTGCCACCCCACACCTGTCCTCACATACCTGCCCCCATACACGTGCCCCCCACCTCCCTCCACACTCCTGCCCCCCCACACTTATCCCTATACAGCTGACTCCACATACCTGTCCCCACACACCTGCCCCCACACCTGCCCCCCCCACACCTTCCCACACCTGCCTACACCTGCCCTGCAGGCCGTGTACGTCACCTCCACGCTGCCCTACGTGGTGCTGACCATCTTCCTCATCCGGGGCCTGACACTGAAGGGCGCCACCAACGGCATCGTCTTCCTCTTCACGCCCAACGTGAGTCCCTGCCTCCGCCCTGCTCAGACCTCTCGGGCCTCCCGGGGGCGGCAGGCACCTGTCCTCCCGCCCCGGGCCGGCTAGGGCTCAACTCGGGCCGGCTAGCCCACGGCCCGCGGCCTGGCCGTGCCCCCGCGGACGGAGACTCTGCACGGGAAGCACCTGCCACGAGAGGCTCTCCCGTGGGCCACGGCGCCGGCGGCCAGTCCTTGCACGGCACCGCTGAGGTCTCTGTCTGGCGCAGATCACAGAGCTGGCCAACCCGGTCACCTGGCTGGACGCGGGAGCGCAGGTCTTCTACTCCTTCTCCCTGGCCTTCGGGGGCCTCATCTCCTTCTCCAGCTACAATTCTGTGCAGTGAGTGTGGGGAGCCGGCTGGCGGGCGGGCTTCCAGGAGTGTTTTGGTGCTGTGCCTCAGTTTCCCTACCACACTGCGGTACTCTGTTGTGAGGATAAAAAGATGGCAGAGGCAGCGGGCGCTCGCTGCACCGTGACCAGCTGCCAGGTCAGGGTCTGGCCAGGCCGCCTGCACCTTCCTCGGCACCCAGTGCACGGAGGGGCCTGGCCCTTGGGTGCTGCCTGGGCCTCCACTCCACGCTGCCCAGCTCTGCCCTGCCCCGGGCCCCCAGACGGCGCCCCGAAGCCCACCACCAGGCCAGGCGCAAGGCTTCCCGCGGACGCCCGCCCTGCCCACCAACCTGCACACCCCCTGGGCAAGGCCTCGGGGACCCCCTGGGGACCTCCCAGTTCAGGACAGCCCCTCCCCCGAGCCCCGCTGGCCTGTAGTGTGTGCCCAGGCACCTCCCCTCGCAGCGGGAGGTAAGGCAGGGCCCCCGACACCTGGGGCCCCGGCGCTGGGGGGGCCTACGTCAGCGTGGGCTGGAGCTGGGGGCCCCGGGCCTGCACCAGAGGCCAAGGGGGGCGCCAAGGCCGGTGCCCCTCCCTGCCGGCTCTGCCGGCCGGCCTGGCGCGCCCTAGCCAGACCCGTGACCACTTTCCTCCTTTCACGCTGGGTGGAGGGGAACAGGGGACCCAGCCCCTCCCACAACTTCTACTAAGTGAGCACCTGCGACCCAAACCAGGGGTCTCCAAGCCACCAGGTGGCCGGTGAAGTGACGAGAAGGGCCTGGGGCTCGGGGCACGGCCTTCCGGCCACCTGTGTCCCTGGAGCCCGCTCAGAGGAGGACAGGCTCCCGCCCGCCCGGCTTCCCGAGGTGGCTGAGACCAGCTCTGGGCGGGGTGCGCCGTCTCTGACGCTCCGTGCCCAGCGCAGGACTGGCCGTCCCGGATGAGGCGCGGTGACGCTGCCATCCCCGTGTCCCCCGCAGCAACAACTGCGAGATGGACGCGCTGATCGTGTCTGTCATCAACGGCTTCACTTCGGTGTACGCGGCCACCGTGGTCTACTCCATCATCGGCTTCCGCGCCACTGAGCGCTACGACGACTGCTTCAGCACGTGAGTCTGCAGCGTGGGCCGGTGCCGCCCTGGGGCAGCCTGGGGCCCGGCGCGGGCGCGGCCGCTCAGCCCCTCTCCTCCCCAGGAACATCCTGACCCTCATCAACGGGTTCGACCTGCCGGAGGGCAGCGTGACCCCCGAGAACTTCACGGAGGTGCAGCGCTGGTGCAACGCCAGCGACCCCGCGGCCTACGCCCAGCTGCAGTTCCAGACCTGCGACATGAACTCCTTCCTCTCGGAGGTGAGTCCCCCGCGGGCGGCGCTCTGGGCGTGGCTGGGGGAAGGGTGAGGCCGCGCCGCTCGGCTGGGGCCTCTGCGCGCCTGTGGCCCTCACGTCACCAGGGTCTGGGCTGCCGCCGGCGTCTGCAGGGACACGGAATCCCACCGCCCGGCCCCCGTCCCTCCCCCCAACACTCAAAAACACCGCTGGTGGCCGCCTGTGACAGAACTCCTTCTGCAAACACTGGGGAATTATTTGACTGTTTTTGAACGTACTGGGCAACCAGAGGCACATTTAATCTCAGGCTGGACAAGTTTTCTCAGCTGTCACCGTGCCGAGGAAAGTCACGAACCCTCGCCGATTGTGACGAATGTCTTCGAGCCCCGTGCTGATAATCGGTGCAGCTCAGACGTGGCATTTTTTCTATTTTTGTTTTTTAGACAGAGTCTCACTCTGTTGCCCAGGCTAGAGTGAGTGCCGTGGCGTCAGCCTAGCTCACAGCAACCTCAAACTCCTGGGCTCAAGCAATCTTGCTGCCTCAGCCTCCCAAGTAGCTGGGACCACAGGCATACGCCACCACGCCCGGCTAATTTTTCTATATATTTTTAGTTGACCAATTAATTTCTTTCTGTTTTCAGTAGAAACGGGATCTTGCTCTTGCTCAGGCTGGTTGGGAACTCCTGACCCTGAGCGATCCACCCGCCTCGGCCTCCCAGAGTGCTAGGATTACAGGCGTGAGCCACCTCGCCCGGCCTACACTGTTATGATTTATAGACCAACATTTTCTAACTTTACTTTTGCAGCTTCCTTATTTGGGAGGCACCCCGTATTTTTGCCGTTTTGGGGGTCTGGCGCCGTAGCGGTAGTGGCCCTGACACGGGAGCCATGCCGGCTGTGGTGCCAGGCAGAGCCCGGGCAGAGAGATCTCGGGTCCTCCCAGCCATTCCCCAGGGGCATCCGGAGGGCTCCACGAAGGACCAGACGGGTGCAGGGTCTCAGCCTCCTTTCTTTTTTAAAAAACACCTTTATGGAGGTGTGACTGTGCGCCCTTGTGTGTGTCGCTGAGACTCGTCCCCCTGCAGGCTCCCGTCCACGATGGCCCCCGCTCCCCCAGCCCCAGGGCCCCCTCCGCTGCTTCTGTCTCCCCCAGTGACTTGTCTTTCTAGAAGTTCCACAGACAGGGAACACAGTCACAGGCCACCTCGCGGCCGGTCTTCCCCGTGCCATCATTCTGGGACTCACCTGGGGCCACGGCCCCACGCTCTCCTCCCCTGCGAGCCACGCGCCTGCCAGGCTGTGCCTGCCCTGCGCAAGTTCCCTTCAGACTCTAAAAGCCGCCTGCAAGGCAGCACCCCAGAGCGCCTCGGGTCAGCACCCTGCCCACGGAACTCACACATGCACCGTTAAGCTGCCTTGGGCCCCGAGACCCCACCAAGTCCTGGACCGTTCCCTACCGGGAGCCCTGTGCGCGGAACAGCGCACCCAGGCCCGGCACCCGCAGGGCTCGCTCTCCAAGTCTGCACAGCCGGGCCACCGGCCACCGGGACTGGGAACCCGCTGCCGGGTTCCGCTGACGGTCCAGGGCCCCGGGCGGTGGCCGACACACCCTCGAGCCTGTGTGCACCGGGCTGCCTGCGTGTGGCCCTCCAGGGCGCCAGCTTGGGTGACCTTGTCAGGTGACGTCTTGGAAGCTTCCCACGTGGGGAGCCCGTCCAGGGGTCGGAGGGCCCATCATGCCGTGGCTGGCGTGCGTCCCAGCACTGGGCTCCTCCACTGCTGGGGGACTGGGCCACTTGTAACTCACAGTGCAGCTTTGCGAAGTCCACGCGGGCCCAAGCGCACGATGCTGTCGCTTTGCAGACGGCTCGGAGCCACGCGCCTTTGCCCCTGGCGTGGCGGGCAGAGGCGTGGGGGGTCGTGCGGCCCGCACCCGGTGGGGGGCGCCGCGGAGACGGGTGGTCCTGTTACCGTGCCCCCGCCCGTCCCCCCGCAGGGCGTGGAGGGCACGGGCCTGGCCTTCATCGTCTTCACCGAGGCCATCACCAAGATGCCGGTGTCCCCGCTGTGGTCGGTGCTGTTCTTCATCATGCTCTTCTGCCTGGGCCTGTCCTCCATGTTCGGGAACATGGAGGGTGTCGTCGTGCCCCTGCAGGACCTCAGGATCGTCCCCAAGAAGTGGCCCAAGGAGCTGCTCACAGGTGGGTGTGCGGCCGGCCGGGCGGCGGGCCCTGGGGCGGCGCGGCCGCAGTGCCTGTGACCGGCCCTGCTGCGCCCGCAGGCCTCATCTGCCTGGGCACCTACCTGCTGGCCTTCATCTTCTCGCTGAACTCGGGCCAGTACTGGCTGTCGCTGCTGGACAGCTACGCCGGCTCCATCCCGCTGCTCATCATCGCCTTCTTCGAGATGTTCTCCGTGGTCTACGTGTACGGCGTGGACAGGTAGGCGGCGGGGCTCCCCGGGCTTCCGGGCCCTCCGGCCGGCTCCGGAGCTCCGCGCACGGTGAGCAGCCTACCAGCCTGCCCACAGCCCGAGTCCGGCGGCAGGGGCGGCCGTGCCCCCCCCCCCCAGGGACCGCAGTCCCCTGCGCGGCCCTGACGCCGGCCTTGCTCGCAGGTTCAACAGGGACATCGAGTTCATGATCGGCCACAAGCCCAACGTGTTCTGGCAGGTTACGTGGAGGGTGGTCAGCCCGCTGATCATGCTGGTCATCTTCCTCTTCTTCTTCGTCGTGAAGGTCAACGAGGAGCTCACCTACAGCGTCTGGGACCCCGGCTACGTGAGTGGGGGGCTACGTGAGTGAGTGGGTGGGACTACGTGAGGGCTACGTGAGTACGGGGCTATGTGAGTGGGGGGGCTATGTGAGTGGGGGTACTGAGTACGGGCTACGCGAGTGGGGGCTACGTGAGTGGGGGTACGTGAGTGGGACTACATGAGTACGGGGTACGTAGGGGGGGCTACGTGACGTGGGGCTATGTGAGTACGGGGGGCTCGTGGGTTGGGTCTACGTGCAGTACAGCGGGGGCTACGTGAGGGGGTACGTGAGGGGGGGCTACGTGAGGGTACGTGAGGCTACGTGAGTGTGGGCACGTGAGGTGGGCTACGTGAGTACGGGTACGTATTGGGGCTACGTGAGTGGGGGGCTACCGTGAGTACTGGGGGTACGTATTGGAGCTACGTGAAGTGGGGGCTACGTGAGTACAGGGGGGCTACGTGAGTACTGGGGGGGCTACGTGATTGGGGGCTACGTGATGCAGGGGGTTTATGAGGTGAGGGGGTACTGAGTGGGCTACGTGAGTACGGGGGGCTACGTGATGTGGCTACTGATTGGGCTACGGATTGGGGCTACGTGAGTGGGGGTATCGTGACGTGCGGCGGTTCTATGTAAGTGTGGGCTACGTCAGTGGGGCTACATGATGCGGAGGTCACCTTGGTCGGGGCGATCTACGGAGTGCGGGGCTGAGAGGGGGGCTATGTGAGTGGCTATGTGAGGCTACGGACTGGGGGTCTACGTGAGTGCAGGGGGACTACGTTAGTGCGGGGGGGTCTACGTGATTGAGGGGGTAGGGTCTACGTGAGTGCAGGGGGGCTACGTGAGTGCCCGGGGGCTACGTGAGATGGGGCTACGTGAGTCGGGGGGCTACGTGAGTGGGGGGAAACGTGGAGATGGGCTACGGAGTAGCGGGGGCGGGCACGTGGGAGATGGGGGTACTGACTGAGGGGTGGGTCTACGTGAAGTGCGGGGTAGTGGTGTGGGGCTGCGTGAGAGAAGGTGGGGTCTACGAGTGGGGCTCGTGAGCAGGGGTGGGGTACTACTGAGGCGGGGGCTACGTGAGATAGGGGTACTGTGACTGAGGGTGGGGTCTACGTGAGTGCAGGGTGGTCTACGTGAGTGCCGGGGCTACGTGAGATAGGCTACGTGACTGAGTAGGCTACGGAGTGCAGGGGTGGGTCTACGTGAGTGCAGGGGGGTACGGAGATAGGGCTACGTGACTGAGGGGTGGGGTCTACGTGATGCGGGGCTACGTGAATGGGGGGCTACGTGGAGAGAGGTCTACGTAAGTGGGCTACGTGAGTGGCAGGGGTGGGGTTACGTGGTGCCGGGGTTGTGAGATAGGGCACGTGACGAGGGGTGGGTCTACGTGAGTGCAGGGGGTGGGGTCTACGTGAGTGCCGGGGGCTACGTGAGATAGGGGCTACGTGACTGAGGGGGTGGGGTCTACGTGAGTGCAGGGGGGGCTACGTGAGATAGGGGCTACGTGACTGAGGGGGTGGGGTCTACGTGAGTGCGGGAGGGGCTACGTGAGTGGGGGGGCTACGTGAGTGAGGGGGTGGGGTCTACGTGAGTGCCGGGTGGCTACATGAGTGCAGGGGGTGGGGTCTATGTGAGTGCCGGAGGACTACGTGGGTGCGGTGGGGGGGTGGGGTCTAGGTGAGTGCAGGGGGCTATGTGGGGGGCGTGGCGGCAGGAGGTCGTGGGGGCAGGGGAGGCCGGAAGAAACCCGGGCTGCCCACCCCACCCCCGCAGGCCCTGTGCCCTGGGGCTCCTGACGCTCTGTTCCCCACGTGGCTCTCTCCCCAGGAGGAATTTCCCAAGTCCGAGAAGGTCTCGTACCCGGACTGGGTGTACGCCGTGGTGGTGGTCGTGGCCGGGGTGCCCTGCCTCACCATCCCTGGCTTTGCCATCTACAAGCTCATCAGGAACCGCTGCCAGGGGCCAGGGGAGCACCAGGGGCTGGTCAGCACTCTGTCCACGGCCTCCATGAACGGGGACCTCAAGTGCTGAGGGCCCAGCCACAGTGCCCGCAGACTGTCGGGAGGGGAGCCCAGGCCCCGGGGGTGGTGGCTGGGCTGCACGTGTGTGTGAGCGCATGAGTGTACAGTCATGTATGTATTTTACATGCACACGTGTATTGTGTATGCATGCATGTACATGTATTACATGTGTTTGTGTACATTGGTATGTGTATACATATTTATGTGTGTACGCGAGCATGTATATATGTATGCATCAGTGTATTGTGCCTATGTGTGCCGTGTGTATCTGTTTACGCATGTTTGTGTGAGCACGCATGTGTAAGCGTATATACACATGTGTGCATATGTGTCTGAGAGTGCATGAATGTGTATGTGTGCAAGAGCACATATACGTGTGTATATGTGCTATTTATGTATGTGGACACACGTGTTTGTGTGTATATGTGTATACATGCACGTGTTGTGTGTGTGAGCACGTGTGCCTGAGTGTCCATACATGTGTGCATGCATGTTTACATGTATACGTTTATGCCTGTGTGCACTTTGTAGACACGTGTATATATGTTCCCGGCACGCACGCACCCCAGGGCCCAGCCTCCCTCCGTGCTTGTTGTCCTTGCCAGTGACATGCGTGTGCTGAGCCCGAGGGAGCAGCCTCGGTTGGGACTTGCCACACCTTGCACACGCCCCACGGAGAGGCGGGAGCTGCAGCGTGGGGGGAGCACCTGCTGGGCTTCACCTGATGCACAGCGGGGACTGCAGCGTGGGGGGAGGCACCTGCTGGGCTTCACCTGATGCACAGCGGGGACTGCAGCGTGGTGGCCACCGTGGGGATAACGCTCACTGCCCGCCTGCCCTGGCTCCTCCCCTCGCTGCTCACCCGCCCTGGGGACTCCCAGGGTGCGGTCAGGCCCGGTAGCGCCCGAGCACTGGCTGGCAGCGAGTTTGGGAGGACTGGGCGTGTCCTGGGCTGTCCGTGCCCGGCAAGTTCTGCGTCGCGGCTCTGCTGGTGTGATGAGCACCCGCCCCTTAATCGGTGCTCTGGCACCACGAGTCGATGCACAGTTAAATAAAACTCAACTCGGCATAATTTAAGGCAGAAACCATGGTTTGTGTTTTCTTAAAGGATATTAACTGTGTGAATTTTTAGCCAGATGTTGGAAAAGGCCGGTTACAGGGTAACTCATCTTGGCCGCCATCCGTGAGGGCCCCGGGCGTCCTGGGCACCGTCAGCAAAGCCCCTGAGGCCCCCCACCCGTCAGGGCCACTGAGCGGAGCCCACCTGGTGTCTGCCCTTCCCCCATCACGGGGTGAATCTTTTCGGGGATGTGGCATCCAATGCCAGGCCAAAGGCACCAGCACTCAAGGTATGTCCTCAACGAGCTGGTCGCCTCTGCCTCAAGTGGAAAAACCTCGAGTTTAAATTAAGCTGGAGTTTGAGAATTTTCACAGGTAGGACGGAGAGATCTCGGTGGGTCCTGGTGCCATATTCGTCCTGGCAGCCTCGAAGCCACATTTGCCCCTTCCAGACACCTCTGTCCTGACATGCTCCGTGGGCGGCTGGCTGGGCAAGCCACGCAGGTTGTCGTCCTGGCCACGGCCATGAGCCCAGGAAACAAGCTGCGGACACCGTGGCCACGTGCAAGACCCCCAGACGGTGCCCCGTGGAAACCAACCCCGGAAGTCTGTGCGCCACAAGTCCACTCACGCAGCCGTCATGCAATGACGAGGCTGAGGAGGGTGGGTCCTCAGCTGATAGAATGTTCTGGATCTTGTGCCAGTGCCCATGTCCTGCCACGAGGCAGTCCCAGAGCTTTGTGAGATGTCACCGTTGCGGGGAACCGGGCAACAGGTGCATGGGATCTTCTCTGTGTTATTTCTTCCAGTGGAATGTGAGTCTATGATTGTCTCAAGATGAAAAAGTTAAATAAAAATAAGTAATTTTAAAAAACAATCGAATGTGCCCCAGTCTTGGGAGTCCTGGGTGTCCCCGACAGGCATCACGAGGCTGTCACTGGAAACAGCTCTCACGTTGGAGGTGGCACCAGGCTGGGCTGGGAGCGTGGGACACGGAACGTGGGAGACGGGCCGGGATGCGGGCGCCGGGCGGGCTGGGGGGTCAGGACGAGGGCCGGCCCGAGTTACCAATTAACCGGATCCACTGGTTTTCCTTTAAATAAACGAAAGAATGCGACTGAAGGGGAGGCTGCCCGTGGCTCCCACAGTCCACGGAGGTCCGGGAGGCTGCCTGGTGCCCCCTCTGTGCCCCGAACCCCATGCCCCGGGCTGACCCAGCCGGCATGGCCCAGACCCTGGCACTGGACTGGCTGGGGGACGCCCCCAAGGACGGGAGGCCCAAGTGGGACAACAAGTTCCAGTACTTCCTGAGCTGCCTGGGGTTTGCCGTGGGGCTGGGGAACGTGTGGCGGTTCCCGTACCTGTGCCAGACCCACGGGGGAGGTAAGCCTGCCGCCCGCGCCCCAGCGCCTTAGGGGAGCCGTGCTAGTGCTCGCCCCGTCCCTGGGCGGGAGGTGCCCCTGCGGGACATCGTGGTGCCGTCGCCCATGGAGCCAGGTCCCTCCAAGGTCCATCCCGTGGCCTTCTGGGTCTCTGGGGGCTCCCAAACAGGCATCAGGGCGAGAGGGGGCCGCACCTGTGACCCTCCCCCACACGGTGTTCTCTGACCTTGAGCATGGCGGGTCCCTGTCCCAGTCCAGCCACGGGCAGCAGCGGTTTGCGCTGTCACTTCCTCAGCGCGTCCAGGGTGGGCCAAGTTTCTCCCGGGCTCTGCGCGATCCCGGGCCTCACCCCTCCTGCTCGGCCTAGCGAGGACCTCCCGACGGAGCCTCCCCTCGGGAGTCCAAACCTCGGGAAATTCGGAACCGCAAGTCGTTTTATCTACAGTTAAACTCCCCCCCCACACACACACACACAGGCGTGTGGGTAGAAGGAACACGCTCTGTCCTCCGTGCCGGGGACACGGGCGGGGGGTGGGGGCAGGTGCTGCCTGGTGCCGTCACTGGTTCTCACCTTCCTGGCCGGGCTGCCCAAGGTGCCCCTGGGGCTCCGCCGGCCCCCGCCAGACTGCAGGGCTCCCGAGAGCCCCACGACTCTTCCCGGCCCTGCATCACCTCCACCATGTGTCTCGGAAGACGTTTCTCCATCTGGGAACCTGGGGAGGTGACTCTGGGCCGGCTCCCACACAGGGCCGGGTCGAACTGCCGGAGCATGTGGCTGGATGCCAGATCAGGGAGCAGCCCTGCCCCAGGGGCAAGCCGGCCGCCCGCCTGGCTGGGATGGGCAGAGCTGTGTCTGGCGTAGATGGAGGAGTGGGGAGGGCTCTGTGGGGTCTGGCACTGGCCAGGCCGTCGAGAAACCCGAGGAGGGAAAAGCACTTTCTCCTGCCACTTCTCTCGTCCCTTGTTGCAAGGACACTGCTTCCTGAAAGTTTATTTTTTTCTGACTAAAAAGGTTCAGGCTCGGCCGGGCGCAGTGGCTCACACCTGTAATCCCAGCACTCTGGGAGGCTGAGGCAGGAGGATTGCTTGAGCTCAGGAGTTCCAGACCAGCCTGAGCAAGATCAGACCCCATCTCTGCTATAAATAAAGAAAAATTGGCCAAACAACTAAAAGTAGAAAAATTTGGCGTGTGCCTGTAGTCCCAGCTACTTGGGAGGCCGAGGCAGGAGGATCTCTTTGAGCCAGGAGTTTGAGGTTGCTGTGAGCTAGGTCTGGATGCCACAGCACTCTAGCCCGGGCCACAGAGTGAGACTCTGTCTCAAAAAAAAAAACAAAACAAAAAGGCTCAGGCTGGACGTGGTGGCAGGTGCCTGTGGTCCCAGCTGCTCGGGAGGCCGAGGCGGGAGGATGACGGTAGCCGGGGTCGGAAGCTGCAGTGAGGTGTGATCGCGCCACAGCACCCCAGCCTGGGCCACAGAGCCAGACCCTGTCTCTAAAAATAAATTAAAATTAAATTTTAAAAGGCTCCCTGCATGTAGAAAATTTAGAAAATGTTCACAAGTGTAAAGAACAAAAAGAGTCGCCTGTTATTGCCGCCCTGGGGGCACCGGGGTCTCTGGGGGTCTGGGGCGAGATGGGCTCCTTGGGGCTCGGGCCCGCTGGCCTCGGTGCAGTCCTCTCGCCGAATGTCTCGAGGGCAGAGGGCAGGAGGGTCCCGTGTCACTCCCCGGCCCCTGCGAGGCTCTGTCTGCACAGCACAGGGAATGGCGGCCGGCCGTGGAGCCGGTTCACTTCTCGCTGACCAGCCCCGAGGGCGGGGTGCTGGGGACCCTCAGCGGCCCAGCCTTGGGGGTCTGCAGGTCACACCTTATGGAGGGAGGGGCTGGCACAAGCCCCGCCTTCGGTGCTGTCCAGGGAGGACAGGCCGGGGGCTCCGCTGTGTGCCTGGCTTGTGGGGCCCCTCCGCCTGGGAGGTCTTTAGCGGCTACTTCCAGGTGGAGACCCCTTGGTCACATTTCCCCAGGGGCTGCCTGGCCGGTGATCCCACCCCTGGCGTGGGATGCCCATGCCTGATCTCACTTTAACAACCGTGACTTAGTTTCAAAATAAGACACAGTTGAGCAGCAGACACTGTGTGACATTTTATTTTATTTTATTATTTTATTTTATTTATTTATTTTTTGAGACAGTCTCACTCTGTTGCCCAGGCTAGAGTGAGTGCCGTGGCGTCAGCCTAGCTCACAGCAACCTCAAACTCCTGGGCTCAAGCGATCCTTCTGCCTCAGCCTCCCGAGTAGCTGGGACAACAAGCATGTGCCACCATGCCCGGCTAATTTTTTTTCTATATATATTAGTTGGCCAATTAATTTTTCTATTTATAGTAGAGACGGGGTCTCGCTCTTGCTCAGGCTGGTTTCAAACTCCTGACCTCGAGCAATCCGCCCGACTCCGCCTCCCAGAGTGCTGGGATCACAGGCGTGGTCCACCGCGCCCGCCCTGTGCAGCATTTTAAATGTGCACGAACTCGTTGCTCAAAAGTGAACATCGCTTTCTCTCCTGTTCCTAACTATTCAGCTTTATAGGTTTTCTCTTCAAAGGTAAGACTGTAGAGCAACACTGTATTGAGTGTAGGAAACAGCTTTGCAGGGAGCTGTGCCACGTGCAGTCAGCACCTTAGAAACAGGAACACAGACCCGTAACCTCCAAGCTGGACCGAGCCCGCTGCTGTGATTAAGTCTCGGCCCAGGAAGCTTTGGTGGCTCCGGGCTGCCGCCCCCGCCCAGCCACAGCTGCGGCCGCTGCTCCAGCCCAGCCCAGGGTGCACAGGGGCCTCCCTCCCGCATCTGCCGCCTGTGCCTGGAGACCTGTGGACCTTGCACCGAAGTCTCACCGCACCGGTTACTGTGGTTTTGTGACAGGTCTCCACACACGGTGGAGCTCGTCTTCCTGCTCATTCGCCTTTGAAAT